GCACACTTCGGTAAGATCAAACAAAGCCACACGGAGTTGGTTTTTCTCTTTCTATTGCTCTTGTTTTTCTGTCTTTCTCTTATTTTGTCTTTGCTTGTGCTTTTTTTATTTTGCATTCTGTGAAACACAAAGAAAAACATCTAAAATGTGAGCGAATTTGGACGTTATTGAGTTATTTTTATTTTCTGCGCTCAGGCTGACGTAAGTAACAGGAAGTGAAATTTCACCTCCTTAGCAACGCGCGCGAGCGCGCGCATAAATCGGTTAATGGGCCCTTAAAGGAGCTCAGTCAAGGTTTTTTGAGTTATTTTGGCCACATACAAAATTACCTTTAAATGGTAGGAAACCTGAAAATAACAGTTTAATAAGATAGAAAAACACCAAAGAGATAATGATAAACCATAAGGGAACAAGGATGGCTAAGGATGGAGAAGATAAACACGGATTACAAACGACGAATTTGAAAAATTAAGGTTAAACTATTCAATACGCGCAAACCGTGACGTAGCTCCTTTAACTATATGTTTTAGTTTAAGAAACTGTACCAGCTACAGCCACTTTACAGATATCTCACAAAAAATAAATAACTTGCTTATCATTAAACTAAGCACCAAGCCATAACTGAATCTGTCCTTACCTATGGAGTTAGTGTCGAAAAAATAAGATGGCGCCCGCAAGAGAGCACTAAACATCCTCAGGTGAAGCTTCCTTGAGGCTACAATGGTCAGTTTAAAGAAAAGCTGCGTCCTTAGCAATGTAAACAACAGCAGGCAAATCACAAAGACAGCGTAAACGCCAAGATAAAGATCACGGTCCAGTTCTTGCACTTCACTGGAGCTGGTGCTATTATTTGTATCAAGTGTTGCAAGTAAATACTCTTCCTCCTCATTACACCTGCAAGAATAAGGACACAAAAGAATCTGTCTTTCAAGCATCCCTTGCACGGTAAATACACCTCATGAGCAACCTTAAACGTTATTATTACGTAGGCTTTCCCATGTTTTATATTTTAAAGGAGCAATATAAAGTCACGGATGTCACATGTAATGTTGAAATATTGAGCGAAACAATCTCAAAGTCCTCATTTGCATTTTGATTGTTTTTTTAAAATAATTTAAATACGATGTTTTCTCCTCAACATTTTTCTAGCTTTAGTACATGTTACTGCAAAACTCTCCTAGAAAATAGGTCTGCAACTGACACTGTTTATCATTGACGGAGCGGGAGGGATGGCAATGTACATGGAAGTGCCATTGGCGCTATCTGGGTCGGGAAAGTCTCAGGTCCCAGAAATTCGCGTTCATTCACCACCTAGACTTTCTAAAAGTCGTTTCCAATATTTCTTCCCTGGCCTGTTGGTTTGGCCGTTCGCGACTTAGGTTGCTTGCGCTCGCGACTTCGTCGCTCGAAAATTACCCCCTCGCTTCGCTCGAGGGAGGTAAATAAGTCAAGAAATAAGAAAAGGTCGACTTGTGGCAAGTCTATTCACCACCAAACATGACATAAAAAGTGGCCTCAAAGAAAAAAATACTATTCTTATACTAATTAAAATTTAAAAAACTGAAAATTTTCTTACCAATAAGATAACCACACATCGGCCATCATAAAAACGACCTGGAGGACAAAAAGAGAGATTTCAATCAACTGATATAACAGGTACAAACTCAAAACACTTTTCTACAATAACTGTACACATTCTCGCGCGCTCATTGGCTAATTTTCATTGTCAATAAGCGGGCAGACACATAAATGTCTCGCGTTTTGACCCAATTTTGTCCCTTCTGCCTTTTTGTTATTGTTAAAAACAAATTGACTTCAGTTTTCAATACGTCTGTCCTGTTACTGATAATGAATTTCGTCATAACATGTAAAAGTAGTCTGTGGATCCAATCGCCTATCGTCTCATGGATCCGTAGCTACTTTGATGACAACCTCGTTCCCAGGCTCTCTCTCCGGAGGCAGAGAAGAGAGAGCCTGGGAACGAGGTTGCTTTGATCAAGGTCTGAGTACTGAGTTCCCGTATGACCAGCCGTGATTAGGTTTCCCGCCTTGTTAAAATTAACAAATGGTAAACGCCATAGCGTGTACCATTGAGTTATGGATGCACGCGGGAGGCTGCTAAGCACGAAAGAAGCGTACGAGTCGCACTCGGCTATCGCCTCGTGCGACTCTAGCTTCTTGAGTGCTTAGCAAACCTCCCAAGTGCATCCATAACTCAATAGTGCACGCTATGGCGTTCTATAAGCTCCTTCCAGTTATGCCTACGAATCTTCATGACAACGTTGTCGGACGTTCTCGAAGGGATAAACTTACCTATAGAGTGTTTTTTCAAGCTCCTTGCAGGAAACCTGACTTCCCAAGAACTGTCTTCATTCAAACATGAAGTCTGGTTTATAAGCTTATGTTTATGTGATTGGCATGACTGAATGTTGAACTACTGATTTGTATCGATTGTTTACTTTATTTGGCGACAAACTTTAAACCTGAGAATATTGTGATGACAATGAGTGAGTAGTATAAAGTGTCGCACCACCCCGCTGTTCCTTCCGCCATTTTGAATGACCCGCGTCAGTGAAACATGGTTTGTATACAAACAATTTAAATCTTTTGTTTCTGTAATATCACCGAAATGTTTAAATCGTCTATAACGTTCTTCCTAACTTTCGATAACTTGACATTCTTCAAAAGATGGAATTAAAAGATCCTTGGTACAATGTAAACTTGTTACATGTATAACTTGGAAATTCCAAATACCTGCGTTACTGCAAACAAAAATAGAACAAACATAGAAGCTGCCAGGCTATGCAAAGACTTGAAATACTGAAGATACGTATCCCTAGTGACGGCTCCCTCTTGCTTAGTTTCTTTGGGAAGGATATCCTCGTCCTTAAAATAAAGAAAATATTAGACAATTTCTAGCACGACCTGTTTCATTCTAAGATAAAAATACTTCAAAAGATCGTGTTTTACGACAAGTCTCAAGCCATAAACTTACAAAAATGGAGATTTCAGTTTCTGAGGTTAAAATTGATAACTGACTTTCCATCAGGAGGCTTGTCCTGTGAGAGGAGCGTGACTGCACACTGTCCGCACGAGCCAGAGAAAGACTATGACTGTGAAGGCGACTTAATGTTCGTTTCATTTTACGCTCCATTTGATTTGGTTCGTCATCAGATTCGATGGCAGAATCATCTTCGTCTTCCTCAATTAGTAGTGCCATGAAGTCAATGCCAGATTTAGAAAGATCTTGATATGTGCCCTGGCCAATGCATTCACCCTTCAAGAAAATGTGCAATTTACAAATAGTTTGTCAACAGTCAATATAAATACACACAATTTTAATTTTTCACACATTTTAATTGACCTTCACACCGTCATACATACATACATGGTTTAATTAATTAGCCTTTAGTTTTTACCACCATAAAGTAATCAACACCTTACTTACCTCTGCAATGTCATTACATTCATTTACCACAGTAACAAACAGAACACTGCTTTAGTGTACCATTATCAAAAGCCTACAAAACGATTCTGAAACTGAAAATATGATATACTTACGTCTGACAGGACTAGCAGCTCGTCAGCCTCCTTCAAATACTGCAGCTGATGGGTAACCAAGATACGAGGTTTGCTTGACAAATAACCACAGATGCACCTAGAAACATGCAGTAAGTAACATAACAATTCTAGGTATGAGAAAGGAATCTTGGCAAAAAGAATTAAACCAAATCCTTGTACAACATTTTTTGAACAAAACATTGCAAAAGTCTGGAAGAAAGAACAAAGACTACCTCGGCTGCAGAAAAATGATCCATTTTGTTTGCACAGATGCACAATAGCATAGCATTTTTTTATTTTATTTTATACTTGGAAATGGAAGTACTGCCTCTTCTCAAAACGCTGCTGGGATAATTTCAACCGCACATTCTACAGGACCGACAGAGTAGACTCTATTCCATCTTTATTCTTGGTTGAATAAATCTCATGTATATCATGAGAAATTAAAACTTTGTAAAAAACAAGGTTCAATGTATTTTTCAAACTTATTCACAAAAGAGAAGTGGTTCTGAATTCAGATGTGCAAAATGAGGCATTGTATATCTCAAGTGAACTAACTTATCAAACAAATGTCTTCCAACATCTGCATCTACAGCACTGAGGGGATCATCCATAAGATAAATATCAGCATCAGCATACACAGCCCTGGACAATTAAAAAAAAACAATTAGCACATTATTACAAGAAAAAGTTCAACGTTGTTTGAGTGATATCATTGATGTGTGCATTTTGGTTTAAGAGTTGCTTTTGGATTAAATTTGTTCTGAGAGGTTTGATTACTTTTTTCATACTTAATATCATAATCTGAAACAAAGGAAAATACAAAACAAATTAGCAGTGGCAGATCCAGACCTTGAGCTAAGCGGGGAGGGGGTTGTTTTTGCTCACCCTACTGGTTTTTCTTCCTTCTGTGATTTTTTCTTTTTGTACCCAAAATAGGGGGGCCAGGTCCCCCAGGCCCCTCCCCTAGATCCGCCACTGATTAGGTTCAACAATTTGAAACCAAAAGTCGAAGCATATGCACGTTATAATGATCCAACAAAAAGCTTTGTTACATGAATGGTTAAAGGAACCCCTCAGATAGGATGACTGGCATCTTACATCTCAACTTAAATAAATGACACTGAGACCACTTCTCTGACCAAAAAACTCTGTTTTATTGCACCTGAAATCCACCCACATCTTCTATTGACATTGACCATCATATATAATTCTTGTTACATTGTAGCCACCTTTTTACTGTAGGTAGGTAGGTAGGTTGCCTTCATTTATACACGATATGTATGAAAGCTGGAAACTTGTGGTGTTGAGTACAATACATTACTTCTAGATTTTTACTATACATATCCCTTCCAATGTCACTTGATATGATCAGATTCTCTACGATATACCTCTAAAATTCCAAGTAGTAAAAGTTTGTTCATACAGTCAAACCACTATTATGTGGCCACCTATTAAATGGCCACCCCTGTTAGGCGGCCAGTGATCAAAGTCCCAACAACGGCTTTTCTATTGTTTTTATCTCTATTAGGCCAGCCCCTATGAAGTGGCCACCATCCATTTCACCACGGGTGTCTGTTTAATAGGGTTTGAACTGTGGTAGCACTTTAAACATTTCATTACATATGTGGAAGCCAGAATGCCCAACTATCATATTTTCTAATATTGGATATGTATCACACACTGTTGATAATATTAGATTTACAAAAAACATAACAAAGGAGAAAAAGTCTAAAGTTACCTTGCCAAATTTACTCTTGCCCTTTGCCCTCCACTCAGGGAGACACCTCGTTCTCCAACAAGAGTCATGTCACCTTCAGCTAACAAGTCAATATCCTATGAGAAGCATTTCAAAATTAAAATAATATGAGAGGAGTGTTGAGGAATAAAGCAAGAAAGGTCCTCTCAGTATTAATTGATTCATGTTCACCATCTCATCTGTCCTCATTGCACCATGGGATGAGGCCCACCTAAGTAATTCTTTCTACTTAAACAATTTGCACAGGTGAGTACATGATTTTGAGTGCAATTTGGAACAAACAAATACAAGTAAACGCACAAGAGCCCATAGAACAAGTGCAATTTGTAGTCCTTGAAAAATGTAGAAGTGCTTCCTTGTTTCAAATTGCATGAGAAAAATCATTTGATTATTAATTAATAATATATAAGCAACTGATATATTAAACATTACAATGTAATGAAAGTCCATGGAAACTACCTGTATAGTCCATAAGAAACCATATTATTTCAACTATACCTTTTGCAGTGCACAAGTCTTGATCACTTCATAGTACCTGCCCTCTTCATATTCACCTCCAAAGATAATGTTTTGCCGTAATGAGCCATTATAAATCCAAGCCTGCTGTGATGCATAACCAATTTTGCCCCTCACAGTAATTTGGCCTTCAGACATAGGTAGTTCCCCCAAAATAGACAACAGAAGAGAAGTCTATGCAATGAACAAAAAGTAAAAATTTGAAAAGTTTAAAGCTGAACTAATTATATGTGAAAATTTTTCCCATTTAAGTCTCCTTATTGGACGTTTTTGAACAGGGAGGCAAGAAAATGACAAAGTAATTCCTTTGAAAGGTTACCGTGAATGGTACAAAAAAATCTTACAACAACACAAGGAAAATATACCTACCAAGTCAGATCATGTGCACTGCACACGTGTACAAAGATATGTCTAAGAATGAGGAGGAGCATAAATACAGAACCCTCTGGTAAATAGGTAGGTAAGGTAAAGTCTCTATATGAGCCAAGTGGCCCATCAGGCCGAAGCTTATCCCAGTTTCGATAGCATGACACAAATAAGAGTATTCCTACTCCCCCCTAGATGGGATGCTAGTCCATTGCAGAGTTCCCCCAGTATTAAGTTTGCCAGTACTCATTTATACACCTGGGTAGAGAGAGGCACTGTGAGAGTAAAGTGTCTTGCCCAAGTACACAACACAATGTCCCCAGCCAGGGCTCAAACCCAGAGCGCTTGATCCAGAGACGAGCGCACTAACCATGAGGCCACCGCACCTCCCACAGGGTTTGTTTTTTATTGTTCAATAGCATACAATTCAATGTTAATTTTTGGGTCAAAACAATTTTTAGTCTGGTTGTAAATTAAGGTGCCACTTTATTGTGGAAATGGAATTTTTACCTGACAGGAGATTGACACAATTTTTTTGGAGAAGTATAGTAATAATTTCTTGTAGAGTAAATGTTTTATGCAAGTGAATATATGAAAGAACATATATTTGAACTGCGGAGAAAGATATGAAGACTTGATTCATCATCACAGTTATACACAACTTAAGCAGTTGTGAAATTAAAGCCTGAAAAAATTCAGGCTTGAACATGATTTGAACCTATGACCTCTGCAATACCGGTGCAGTTCTTTATTTATAACACACAGTATTTACACTACCAACCTTTCCAGAACCAACTGGTCCAATAATTGCTAGTAGTTCACCCTTTGAAAAAATAACAAACAACAATAAATTAAAGCAAATTTATCAAATCAAATAAGCCACCTTAAAAAGCAACTGGGACAAAATTCTGAGCTCACCGGTGCAACTTCAAAGCTAAGATTGCTGAGGGTCGGCTTCTGTTCCTGGAATTTAAAGCAAATTGAGCCTCCTTTAGAAAATATAACTAAAATATTGATCAAGAAAGTACCGGTACTCTTTACATACAATAAAGCATACCGTTAACTGCCAGATAAGAGTACTAATTAAGACCAAAAAAAATAATATGGGCTAGTGGCTAAAACCCGTTAAATTGGAAGAAGAAAATGTTGGAACGTTCCACTCACACTTAGTATGCCTGAAATGGCAAAATAGCAAGACAATTTCCTACACTATTCACCCTTATTTCACCCAAGTCCCTGAAAATGGGCATCACATTTTTTAAAACATGACATGGTAATACAAATCCGTTCAGTACCACAAAAAGTCCATGTATATGTAAAAGTTGAGTAGGTCAGGTCTAACTAATGCAAGTTAACCATGAGAACACAAATACAGTTTACCTGCTTTGCACTATTTTGATGCAATTCGTAATGCCTATTGTTGGCATAATGTTTCCATCTTCAATAGAGGTCTCTTTAATTGTACATGGCTACTTTACCAAATCAACAATCAATTTTCAAGTTGTTAGCTTATGTTAAAATGTGTGGTTCCAGAAAATATCCAAACCTCCCCCACAGAAGGGATTTTTTTGTAACACCCCACCCCTCTGAAAATTCCAATTAAGCTTCATACATTTCTTTACATTTTTGGTCATACAGAATCCCCATCCCCAGGAAATCCCTTCTGTGGAGGAAGTATGGGTATTTTGGGGTTTGCACCATGAGAGTGTGGTTATAATAGGTTTACCACTGCCAAAAAAAATTTAACGGTTACCTTACTCCAGCTAGCATATATATTTTCGGCTTTAATGCCACAGTCTTGAGGTTTAGGCCTCAAGTTTGATGTTGTCAATCCCGGAGAGTGTAACTCATCTAGAAGTAGTAGTTTCTAAAAGTATAAGAGTGTATGTTAATCAAATAACCATAAATAATCACAGAAAAAAAACTATCTTTATACAATTTTTCATAAAAGAACAAGCACATTGTCTTAGCAATAAATATGTAATCAGCTGATGCCAAATCCACTTGTGATATCATCAAAGAGTTATTTATAGGGCGTTTATGCAAACCATGATGACAAAGGCAACAAGAACATCAAAAAAGGTTTAATTAGCAGAATAGAAAGTCTGAAATCTGGAATTGGCTACATGTATGCATGCCCTTAAAAAAACAAGTTGGTGTAACTTGACTGAATTCTTTCTTTTGTTGAGAATGTAAACCATAATGCTGACTTAATAAGATTTCTAGAGGAACTTAATGCTGTCTTAAGAGTGCCTGCCTGTAAAAATCAGACAAATTCTTAATTTCGCGGCATGGGTCAAAAATTCAATTTCGCTCATATTCCTATGGTAGATAGGCTAGGGTATGACAAAAACTACTGGATAGTTTTTTGGCAAAATATCCTTTTACTTCAAAGAAATATGCAAATTACCAAATTCCGTTAAAAATCNGATGTGGTTTTTGCATGCGAGGCTCTCAAACTTGTTTAATAAAATGGTGCGTCAAATGACGATTTTAACGGAATTTGGTAATTTGCATATTTCTTTGAAATAAAAGGATATTTTGCCAAAAAAACTATCCAGTAGTTTTTGCCATGCCTCAGCCTATCTACCGTAAAAATATGAGCGAAATCGAATTTTCGACCCTTGCCGAGTTCTTTTCCATATTTATGGACAGGGACTCTTAACATGTTGATGTGAGGATACACATACTGTAGTTCTAACACCAATACGCACACTAAATAGACCTAGGGATACATGAAATTCTTAAGTAGAGTATGAAGTAGTCTTTCAATCTATGTCATTCTCGGCATTGTCATTGTGCTTGAATGTGTAAACTCCCTAATGCCAAAGAGCACCTCTGTTCTAGATGAACATGTAAACCACTCAGTCATACACTTACTTGAATTCGCTCAATAGAGACTCTTCCTTCATTCATGAGAGTAATGGCAACAGGAAAAAACAGTGCCATTACTAAGCGAACAGAGTTGAATAGTGATAGACAAGTGAAGACCTTCTGGGCAGTTAAAATTTCACCAGTTAACACATAGGTCATGAATGTCACAAAAGTAACCAACACTGAAGAACTGAAGAAGAATGACATAAATGCACCACGTACATAGGCCAGCTTGCGAAACCAGGAAAGCTCAGAGCTGAGTAGAATAAAAATTCACTATTAATTAAAAAATCTGTGACAGCTACGGTAAATACCGTGAGTTCCCCTTAGCAAACAAATGAAAGGTGGGCCAAATTGCTCATGATTCAAATGATGGATACTGGTAACCTTCAGTCTCTCTCAAGAAAATTAGCTTGCTACAATATGTTTATGTAACTTTGTTTTGCCTCAACCTTTCATCAAAAATTGGTTTCGTAAGCTTTAGGCTACAGCTTTTGCATCACCCTAGGAAGTCCATTCTTTGGATGAAAATTGTTAAAATTTATAGAAAGCACAACTGTCTTTTTGTTCAAAAGCAGTTCTCAAAAGACTTTTTAATCTCAAAATTTATTATTGATAGGATTAATAAGTAATCACACTTCATGTCAAACAATTCAGAGAATACTTGTTCTTGTAATTTCAAAAAGGTTAATCACACTGCATACCCCTCTGATTTTGAAATTAATTTATTTGTGCGATTACTCCATGAATAGTACTCCACTCAGTCCAGATACTATTACTGATGAATCATTATGAAATTTGTTATCCTGCCTAAAATTGTGATAAATAATCAAAAACTAATAATATTTACAAGTACGTACTTACATCCTTATTTTGCTGATCCGCTGAGTTATTGAATCCTCCCAAGTATACAATTTAATCACTCGCATACCACTAATTACTTCATTCATCACTTTCACACGCTCATCGATTAAACGGGAAACTTGACGCCTTAGGGATAAAACAAAGCCTCAGTTCTCAGGAGAAAAAGTGAAGCCTTGGAGCCGAATGGCTTGTAGCTGCCAGAGCTTATCCCGGTTTCTGTAGCATGAAGCCACTAGGAGTATTTCTACTCCCCCTGGACGGGATGTTAGTCCATGGCAGGTCACTCCCCTGCAATTTGCTAGGTTTCCCCAACAATTTGCCGTTACCCATTTATACTCCTGGGTGGAGAGAGGCACTGTGAGAGTTAAGTGTCTTGCCCAAGAACACAACACAGTGTCTCCGGCCAGGGCTCAAACCCGGACCGCTCGCTCCGGGAACAAGCACACTAACCATGAGGTCACCGCACCTCCCTCAGCAGTACTAAGGGAAAATAAGCAAACATCAAAACTATCCAACAAGGATCATTTGGACCCACAAGTTTATACACACACCCAGTAATCTCAACATAATCTGTTTGGGACAGACAGATTCTGCCTCTCATTTTACTTCTATCTCATCCATTCCCAAGCAGATGAGATCTAGGTAACCTTTGTCTTGCAGGGCATTTAAGCCATAAACCATAAATTCAAATGTCAGAAAAAAACATACTTTTACATAACTAAATTAGTCTATTCATAACTTAATTAATCTACTCATCATAGAAAACATTCATGGCTAGCTTACACACAACCAGGAGAAACCTGACAAATTTGAACCAGACTTCTCAGGGATAACACCACAAAAAAATTAAGCTGGCACTGTTAAGGTATCAGCCAACCCCAGGGGGGGGGGGCTACTTTGGGAATTTCTGGGTGGGGGTGTGCCGCTGGGACCCTGGAACCCTTAGCCTATACCAGAGCTAGTTCAGCTGAATTTTGCTACCCTATACAAAAGTAAACTTCCCAAATCCCCCCATCTATCAACACTGTTGAGGCTGATTTGCGAAAATTTAAACTTGCCGATTTGATTTTTTTATATTTTTGAGTGACAATTCCTGGTCTCCTTAGTCTAGATAAACTCTTCAACCAACTAGTCAGTTTTGTGAAAAATTATACCCTATTCTAGACCCAAACTCTCTGATTTATATACCCTATCCTAG